TTTTTTTTTTTAAGAATAGTCATCTTGGGGGGCACCTGGGTGGCTCAGCCGGTTAAGTGTCTAACTTCAGCTCAGGTCATGATGTCACAGTTCGTGGGTTTGAACCCTGTGTTGGGCTCTTTGCTGATAGCTCAGAGCCTGGAGCCTGCTTTGGATTCTGTGTCTCCCTCTCTCTCTCTGCCTCTCCCCCACTCACTCTCTGTCTCTGTCTCTCTCAAAAATAAACAATCATTAAAAAAATTGAAGAAAAAAAAATAGTCATCTTGGCGCTAATAAAACACCCCTGGGTTTGTGGATCCTCCAGCCTAGGGACTGCCTTATGTCCCACAACCCCAAGGAAGATCATTATTATAAAGTAGGGTCTTTTGTTCCAACCACCTATCCATGGAAGTTGGATACATATTGAGAAAGAGAATGCACAAGAACACAAATAGTAAAATTAGATAGATTTAGATCCATGGACATTAAATAGAATGAAAGCATGATTAGAGTTGCTGGATCCAATAGGGGTTGTTCAAGGAAAGGTCAATGTAGAAGGTCAGTCTTATGAAGAGTCATGAAGGACGGTAAAGAAGTGGATGAGGGAAGAGATAGTGGTAGGAGGCCTAAATTGGGGGTAGACGGGGTGTAAAGGAACATGCAGTGTATTTTATTGACTGTAAGATCAAGTCCAACAGATATTCTTAAAAGCAAAGCCAAGGTAAAAGAACAGAAAATATAGTCTTGGTCGTGATGGTCTACCACCCTTCAGGACCATCGTCTGCAATGTCTGTCCAATACCTGCCTCCCAGGTATATGTTCAATATATTACACCCATCATATTGGAAAATGCTGAAGAATCCTGAATAGGTACATAGTCTTAGAAAACTCCAGTGGTGTTAAACCTGGGATGATTACGTGATCGTGGCTTAAATTGTTAACCGGTTTGATGATTGAAAAGCCTTTGAAGCTACTGGTTCCTGATGGCAAAAGTTCCAACCTCAGCAGAGAAAATATTTTGGAGTGAAGCATCCTTGAAATAGCCACAGAAGCATATAATTGTGGCTACTAGGGAGTTTTTAGACTAAACTATTATAAGCCATGTCCGATAGAACTTTCCATAATGATGGAAATGGTCTGTATCTGTGCTGTCCAGCACAGGCCAGCCACGTGTGACTATAGTGCACTTGAAATGTGGCAGTTGTGACTGAGATGAATTTTTAATTTTACTTAATGGTGTTTAGTATATGTGCTGCCGAAGCGAGCACATTACTTAATGGTGTTTAGAGTTCAATAGCTACATGTGGTTAGTAGTTATGTTATTGGACAGCACAACTTTATATAAGGGCCAGCCTGGCTCCTTGCTTCTGGGGTGGGGTGGGGTGGAGGGGGTGGGGGGGGCTACTTCTCTCAGATGGAATCACTTAGGCTTTAGCTGTAGGGTCAATTGCAAGTTTTGCTACAAATCTAACTGTTGGACGTTGCCCCGGAAATGTGCACAGGTGATTCTGTGCTGGCACAGAAAACTGCTAACAAGTTTTCATGTGATTCTGATGCTGGCACACTTTGAGGCTTCGACCAAGCCCCTGTCACATACCCTAGTTCCAGTAACTCAGTTCTTGCCTTACTCCTTCCTACGTCAGTCCTTTTAAAAATGTCTTCGAAATCAGTGTCTCTAGACCTAGAGACTTTCTCTCGCCACTTCTCCCACGAGCGGAAGTAGCACCCTGAACCCCAAGGCGCACGACCTCACTCCCAGACCTTGTTGCATGTCTGGAATGCTGCTATGCTATTTCCATGATGTCAGACTCTCCTTGACCTTGTGTGGTAGCTGTCCCTGGACTTTGCATTCACTAGCTCCCCACCAGTGAGGGCTTCTTCATATTGCTTAGCACTGAAACTTGCCCAAACGCTTCCCTCACCCCAGTAGACCTGTCTGGTGTCCTAACGTGAGCCCCCACCTGGCCTGTCCCTTGCCCTCTGGGCTCCAGTTGTGACACACCATTAATATTAGAGTACCTGCCAAGGGAATTGACCTGGTTTGGCGGTTTTTCCACCAACAATTCGAGTCAAGTCGTTCAATGGTTGGGTGACGTTATCCACATTTTTTTCAGCTTCAGCGGAGTTTTCATAGTCCGCAGTGGAATTTTCATAGTCCGTATTGAGAAAAAGAGTTTCAGCGCGGGTGTGTGTCGTAGAAATGTGTGGGACAGAAACTCTTCCGCATGGAAATGGCACTAGAAAAATGGAAAAAAAAAATCAGTGTTCTGATATTTCTCATTGGCAAGCAGAGCGTGTATTACAGAAATCGAGAATGAGGCCCATCCTTGTCACTTCTGAGAAGCAGGCCCATCAATATTTAAAAAAATCTAATCAATGAATATAGTCTCAAACTAAAAGGTTAATTGCATTATTTTCATGGAAAGTTTTCAAACCCTTCATGAAAAGAACATTTGGCTCAGGAATCCATCATCTTTACGGAAATAGAATAGGTGTTCCAGAATCCAATTTTGTGAGAGTTTTATAAAGTCTCATGACTTTCTGTTGGGTTTCTTTTCTAAAAAGTCTTAGTCCCAAGGCCTGTCCCTAAATCGAATTCTGAGTGGTGCCATGGAACTTTAACTTTAGACTTAGGTACTTGGGACCTCCGCTGCTTTTTGTGAACAGGATTTCTTTTGTAGACTAGAATGCCTTCTAGACTCCAAGGTGGATTTAAGGATCTGCTGGGAAGAAATCATGATTTAATTATCTGGCTTGGTTAAGCATTAACCAAATAAATTGCTGGGGCACCTGCTTGGCTCAGTCGGAAGGCCATGTGACCCTTGATCTCGGGGTCATGAGCTTGAGCCCACAATGGGTGTAGAGATGACTTAAACTGAAAAAAAAAAAAAAAACTTTAACCAAATAAATTGCTAATATGACTATCGCAGCCACATCCACCTGGGACCTAGCCACCCTTTTACCTTGGGTCAGTTTATTTCCTAAAGACAGGAAATCGTGTACTGATACATTGGGGACAACCAGAATGGAAATCTGTAGTCAAGCAAAGTCACCTCACATTTGATTTTCATTTCTCACGTTCCTTCTAGCCACATTCCTTATAACAGACATTTCTATAGCAACCAGCTGTAGCAAAGTATCATGAAGACAGCATGTGGTTGGGAAAACAGGAAATTAGTTCAAAATACTTATGTATAAATATAAATCAACAATGGCTGGAGAAAAAGGACCATTACTATTGAAAGGCAGAAAAGCTCATTTTAGGTTTGGCCTACTTTGCTAAAGATAAGGCTATAATCAAATATAACACTGAATAGTAAGAGGTGGTTCTCAATTCTTTTTTTCCTTCTAACGTGGAAGGGCTTATAAGGGTTTAGCTACTATGCCATCTGTCTACACTGGAAGTTAGATTTTGAAGGCTTTTTTTTCCCCCCCGAATATAAATCATTTTATTTTTAAAACGACTTCAGATTTGAAGGTTAAAACATAGAGATACTCTCCTCTGGAGGTGAGCTAGCTGTGAAGCACTGTATGTGAAGAACCAGGCAGAAGACAGGTGGGTAGGTCCCTGAAGCATTAGAGACTGCCCTTCGTTTTAGTTGCAACAGCATGTATACCCTTGGCTTCTGGTCGTTTCTTTAATTTCCTCTGCCGGGTGCTTTGGTGAGATAGGTATCGAACCCAGTTACAGAGGATTGGTGCATGATTTAATGTACCAATTTAATATCAGGCTTTGAAAATGCAAAAGAAATTATATCTAGTTTGCTTCAAAAAGGCCCCTCATTTATCAACTATAATTGATCCTGCGGAGCCTACTTTTTTTTTTTATTTTTTCTTTAATCAAAATTCCTCTTGCTTTCATTTTCAGAGGATAGCAATATGAGCGTGGAGTGGAGATGTTCTGAGTACCACCAGTCAGCTGTCAGCGTGGTGGCCCGGTCGACATGACTGGGAAACATTGTTTTGTTCACTGCTGTGGAGATGGACCGTGTGAGTCAGCCTGGCACAACTTGAAACAGATGGTCGTCAGAACCATTCTGATGTCAAGCGCGTAAACTCCGCTTGAGACCCGAGGATGGGAAATGACTTTCTCAGAGTAAGCCAGTCACACCCTGGCAGAGTCCTGCGTTACATTCCCCATTCCCTGTGCTAGAAGCCTATCGGTCCATCATTTGTGTACCTTTTTGTGGTCTGGGATTACTATATTAATTTGACTTGGTTAATTACAGATCTATAGAAATCATATAAATTGATTGCTTCATGATATAGAAGTCAGGAAAAAAGTGGGCACAGTGAAGAATTCAGACTGAATACAGCCATAGAATTTCTATTTAAAATGACTATGCAATTTGGAAAATTGTCCCAGCTACTAATCTCTTCTGTGATCTCAAAGGAGAGGGGAGCCTGGGTGGCTCAGTCGGTTGAGCGTCAGACCTCGGCTCAGGTCATGATCTCACGGTTTGTGAGTTCAGGCCCCCACATCGGGCTCTCTGCTGTCAGCGTGGAGCCAGGTTCAGATCTCTCGGTCCCCACTGCTCTCTGCACCTCCCCCCCCGCTCATGCGTGTGCGCGCTCTCTCCCTCTCCCACAAATAAAAATGAACATTAAAAAATATATCAGGAAAAGAGTCCACCTATAATTAACAAAACACCAGAATTATTTAAAACAAGAAACAAGTAGAGATTATGAAAGTACATAGGCCAGTTAAAATGCTGAAGGTTCAAATAGAGATTTGGAGAATGCATCCCCCTAGCTTGCAGACAACAACAACGCTTATTTAGATTTTGACCTGCTGGTTCACAGGACTTTTGGTCCTCCGCAAGTTGATATCCGGTAGTACAGGAACAAACCACCTTGTTATCAGCATCCAATTTACAAAACTGCTTGCACCTGCCATTCTTAATGTTGCACGTTACATCTGAAAGAAAGCCACATCAAAAGTAATAGCGTCAGTTCACATGCATTTCTAAAAAGTACATGAAACTACTCACTCATGTGAAGGTCAGATCTAAGCAGGGGGCGTTCATGGAGAGAAGCTTGGGAGCCTCGAGCTAAGCGAAGAAAGCAAGATACAATTCTTAATAAGGCATCAAAAGGGCAGCAATATATTTGATTTGGCATAAAACTGAAGGTTTGGATATTCTGCTTTCACTAAATCTTGGACTGCAATTAAAAAAAAAAACAAAACTGTTTATTAGAGTATAGTCTACATTCAGAGAAATCCCCAAAACCTCGCGGTGAATTTTCACAAAGCGTGTCCACCGGTTTAAACACCCGACGGACCAATGCGTAGGACGCGATCCACATCTCAGAAGCTCTCCTAATGCCGCCTTCTACTGCACCATTCCTCCTTTCCAAAGGCGCCATCCCCCCCAAATTCTAACAGTGAATTTTGCCTGTTCATGAACTTTATATCAGTAGAAGCTCCCAGTGTGCCCTCCTCTGTGTCTTTTCATTTAATACTTTGTGAGATTCACCCGTGTTCTTTGTACAGCAGTTCATCGACATGCTGTGTCGTATTCCATCGCGCGAATATTACTATCTTCATCCGTTTTACTGTTGATGAATATTCGAGTCGAGTTTCCAGTTTTTGCCTCTTATGTATAATACTGTAATGAATGTGCTTATACGTATCTTTTGGTAATATGCACACAAACACTGGATGTATACCTATGAGCGCAGTTATTGGATCATCTGTTCAGGTTTCGTAGACACTGCCGAGTGCGTTTTCTAAAATGTGCAAATTTAAATTCCCACCCTCGGTGTGTGAGAGTTCCAGTTCTTAGACGTACATAATGCAGGTTTCTTCTCCCACTCTGACTTGCGTTTTTGTCTCAGTGTGTTTTGCTGAATAGAAGTTCATGGTTTTAATAGAATCCAATTTATCTGAGCACACTTGATGCTGGCCAAGGTGGGTATATATTAACACAGGAGAATGAAATTGGGTCCCTTAAGGTGGCTCCATGCCAAAGACATATGCTGGTGGCCCGCATTCTCTTGACTTTCCTATACAGTCTCCCTTATTCATAGGAAGTGTTGTTCTTACAATGCTTTTTGTCTTGGATTCTATTTTGTGTGAGATTAAGATTGCTTCACCAGCTTCTTTTTGTTAGCGTTTACCTAAAAATCTTTTTATATCCCTGTATTTTAGCCTCCTGGTGTAATTTTATTTTAGGTACCTCTCTTGTCAACAGCATACAATTCTATTTTTCACTCCAGCCTGAAAATCTGCCATTAACCCCACTTCACATTCACGCTGATTTTGGGTATCTTTGGCTTAGTCCTGCCATCTTAGTCGGTATTTTTTAACTACTGTGCTTTCCCTTGGTTTCTTTTATGCGATCTCGACCACCGGAAGTAGCATGGTTCAGGGCTGGCTAGCCGAGACCCACTGAGTTCAGAGACGCGGGCTCTGCCCTTGGGCCTATTTCTGTCTCTAGAGCAGCCCAGGAACACGCTGACTAGGAGATCCCTTCCCCCTTCCCTCCCTGCTCAGCCACGTACAACAGAAACGCTCACTTGTGGGTACGGTTAGACCCTGGAAAGTTTGAAGGCGAGGGACTATACTAGGTGGCCTCCTGTGTGCCACCTTCCTTCCTCTCAGCCTCATGGGTGTCCTTTCCCAGCACTGAGGCCGTCAGCTCTGCCTTGACTTCCCCTGACCTCACACGGGTGCAGCCCTGAATTGCCTGGGCTCGTATCTGCACTACGGGCCTCTCCCTCTTACCTCGGCTCTTCCCTGTTGAGGCCGAGGCACGGGATGCTGTACGACCTCTCCAGGTGCCCCAGCACGTACAGCCTGGAGATGTGGGGGGAGTTAACACCCCCTCGACTAAACTTTTGACCACTGGGAGACAGGTGCTGATGGGCAAACTCCCATCTTCTCCCCTCTCAGATGGACTAGGCTGAGGCCAGTTCTGTGGCTCCTTGGAAAACAGTCCCAAGAGATCCAGTAATCAGTTGCAGATGAGGAGGGATGACCCTTTCTATTATTGGTTCTCCTTTCCTCCCTGCCTCACCCCCCACCCCCGTCCCTTACTCTTGTTCTCTAGGATTGCACACCCTAATAAGTAAGCTTGAGTCACAGACTCTTTTTTTTTTTTCTGGAAGAATCCAGTCTAATAGAGTGACTATATGGTTTTGGAGTATATTATGGATTCTTGAGTGACAGATCTAAATTTTCAAATTTATTTTACACGGCTAGCATAGGTTAACGTAATAATTTGCTGGTGTTCCTTCCTGACACTTAAGGAATTAAGGGGAGGCAGGGGCGCCTGGGTGGCTCAGTCGGTTGAGTGTCTGACTCTCGATCTCAGCTCGGGTCTTGATTTCATGGTCATGAGTTCAAGCCCTGTGTTGGGCTCCACATTGGGTGTGGAGCCGAAACAGGAATTAAGGGGAGGCAAATCAGCTGTTGCCAGGGAGGCAAAGGAACCAGCTTGAGCTTTAACCTTTGCTGCCAATAATCCACTAAGTGCATGATCCAAAAAGATGGCACTTGGTCCTTTGTATTTAGTTTTCAAAGACCTTTCTCCTCACTCGTGGTGATTACATCCCTGGCCCTTTTCATGTTATTGCCTATCATTTTGTTGCTACAAAGCGATGCTAAAGTGTTCAGCCAAGTCAAATACCACCTGTAGAAAGTGTTCAGTCAATATGACATTGGGGTAAGTCAACAGAGGTAGGTGGTAGGTGCTGTGGCCTAGTTTGGTTCGGGCCCCGCACAACGGGAATGAATGAACTCCGTGTGGTTTTCCCAATTCTGCTTCTGTGTCCTTGGCTAAGTGATTAGACCTGTCTACTGTTTTCCTCATCTGCCATTTTTCTTCATGGCTTGGGTTGTATGTGCAGTGGGAAGTGGTGCTGTCCAATCGGCAGTCTTTTGCTGTCAGATAAGGGACTCAAGATTCTGGAAATAGAATAATAGCTCAAGGAATTCCAGTGGAGACGTCCCTAGTCCAGGATCTAAGGAACCGTTACTATGGGGCTCATTCATCAGTGCTTTATTGAGCATTTAGATGTCAGGCACTGTGTTGGGTATGGGTTCTCCCTGGTCCCGAGGCTGGTCTCTGTGCCTCTAGACTATCTGTTGAGCCTCTCGACTCATCTGTTCTTTTCACTTCATGGTAGCACGAAGGCCTCTTTCTAATTTTCCTCACGCCTACTGTCAAAGTTATCCTGTCCGGCTTTCTTTTACTCTGCTGCCATCCCCCCTCATATATTCACTGCTGTGAAACCAAAGCTTGGACAAAAGATGTTCTATTTCGCAAGGTTACCATAGCATGTGCTCTTATTCAGCTAAACTCAAGGTGTTTTCTCCATCCCACAGAAATACTCAGTAAATGAGAGTGTGGTGTCTATGATGTGTTCCCAGAGTGAAAAAAGTGTTTATGTTGCTTGTGATTTTGTTTTCCTCTCCATCCTTGCTTACTATCGGTGGATGCCTCTTACGCTGTTTAGAGGGGACAGGAGTGACCCAAGTTCTTACACACCTTGATCTGTCTGGAAAGGCCTCAGATGTAACGTGTAAATGGGGACACACGGTGGTCATTATTCTAACCAAAGGGACACAACAGCCAATTAATTGTTATTCTTTTAACTAGAAAGCGTGCCCTAAATGTTTGTACTCCTTTCTCTGGAGAGGAGCCTGATGAACAAGGGACAAAGCAAGTAACATGATCTTGAGACAATGGAAATCTCCCTTTTCCCCCCTCTGGAGACAAGGGTGAGGCAAGAAACTCGGGGCCTCGGTTCTCTTATAAACTGTGCCACTTAGCAGCCTCTGAGGTCAGTCTGTGGATCAGTTTGAAGTGACAGCTTAAATGGGAGTTTGTAAATGCTTTTGCTTGCCTCCAGTGTCTGAGATAAAGAGATTTTTCAGAGGATCCCCACTTTGTTTTTGAACCGACTGCGCCGAGAGGATTTTTCTAGACCTTGATCAGGCAGGCTGGGGGAGATCGAGGCTCCCTAGGGGCCAGAGGTGGTGCAGCTGCAGAGCTGTGACCAAAGCAGAACGTGGGGGACCTGAGGCCTGAGACGGTGGCAGCTGTAGACTTAGCACTTCTGCTGTGTGGCCCGTTAGCTTCATGCAGGCGATGGAACGTGTTACAGAAGTTTTGTGCTTACGTTTACATTCCTTGGGGTGATTCTCCTCCACTAAACTGTCTTTGTTTTGTTTTATTTTATTTTTAAGTTTATTATTTATTTTGAGTGAGAGAGAGAGTGAGCGAGTGAGCTTGGGAAAGGGGGAGAGAGAGAATCCCAAGCAGGCTTTGCACCGTCAGCGCAGAGTCCGATATGGGGCTCAGACTGACAAACTGTGAGATCATGACCGGAGCCGAAACCAAGAGTCGGATGCTCAACCGACTAAGCCACCCAGGCGTCCCTAAAGTGTCTTTATTTTAAACTAAAGACATTTAGGAACACTTAACGCTAGATGCTGTTTTTTTCAAATTGCTCCTTATTTAATTTAATTTAATTTAATTTAATTTAATTTAATTTAATTTAATTTAATTTAATTTTACTTTCTAAAGTAAGTTCTTGGCCCAACGTGGGGTTGGAACTCAGGACCGCGAGATCAAAAGTTGCACGCTCTACTGACGGGGCCAGCCAGGCACCTCACTAACCACTATTTTCAATTATACTTTACTACAGTGTGCCCTTCATTTTTAACAGAGACTAATTGAGTCATTCATTCCCTCAGCTCCAATGGTTATATTATTTAAGCTGATAATGAGTAACTACTGCAAAGATTTCCATATGTTTCCATAATAGCAGGATCAGATTTATCTAGGTAAGTCTGAATTTGAAATTAGAACCTTCCCAATGAAAGCGCTGCGGAGATCGTGAACCACACCCACAGGGATCGAGAGGCTTTGCCCCCACGCTGGGAAATCTGAGGGGTGGGGGTCCAAGCCAGGGCTATCTGCCTGCGTCCACTCTTTTCTTCTCACATGTTTTTGCCCGGCCACCTTTTCCTTTTCTTCTATTCTTTTTTATCTTCTAGCTCTCAAAGGAAGATGATCACTGGAGTTCTCTGTAGTGCTGAAAAGATTCCTAAACGACATTACAGGCGACTTTTATTTTCTTTCCTTTCTCTGCAGGACAATTGCAGCTGGTGACTTTCATTTTGTTTTATACCTTTTTCATCTGTCTGGCAGGTGGATGGCTAGAAAGTCTTAATAGACTCCTGCTAATTTTCTGCTCTTTGCCCCTAGTCACGTAGGCTGTGCTGTTAAATTCTTTCCCTAGGATTGCATCTCCATTCTTCCAGAGTTTCAGAGTAGAAAGAGGATCTGTCATTAGCGTGGTCTGTCTTTCACAACCATAATACCAGTAATCTTGCATCCAGAGATAATAAGCAAGTAGGAGAGGACTTTGGGATTTAATGCTCCAATTGCCAAAACCTCAGCAAAAAAAAAAAAAAAAAAAAAAAAAAAAAAAAATTCTAGACTATAAGGAGGAAAGATGCGCAGTGCTCGTAGGTTTGCCATGTAACTCTTTTAGTGTGATCCATGTGGTCAGATTTGGGAGCGAGCTCTGATTTTTGTCAACAAATGTAACATGCGAAGCGGTTCGTATGTGCCAAAAAGCGCCTGTTTTGGGGAGAATTGGCCTCCCCGTATCTCAGTTCTGTACTTAATCGACTGCCACGGCCTGTGTTGATAACAGTTTAGTCACGAGCGCAAACAATTTTATGGGTTCGGTTTTCTTTGCGTTTTGTGGCCAGTAGTTAGAAGCATGGGTTTTGGTCAAACTGAAGTTCAAGTTCTGGCTCAACAACCATTTATTGTCTCTATGATTTTGAGCCGTTTGAGCCGCAGTTTCCTCATCTGCACAGAATGGGGATAATAATGGGACTGACCGCATATGGTTGCATCGAGGGATAATAGCAAGGGGGGAGCATCATGACCACGTAAGATTAGCTACCAAATAGTATTGCTCTTGCCGTAGTTTCTTGAGCTCGTCCAAGAAACTGTGACTACAGACAAACTGAATGTTTGTAAGGTTTGGAAGTATATGACTCATACCCTGGAATATTATTCGGCCTTTTTAAAAAAGGAAACCCTGTCCTATGCGACAGCATGGATGAACCCGGAGGACATTATGCTAAATGAAAGAGGCCAGTCACAGAAGGACAAATACTGCCTGATTCTACTTATCTGAGGTGTCTAAAAACAGTCAAACACAGAAACAGAGACTACAATTGTGCCTGCCAGGGGCTGAGGGAAGGGGAAAATGGGGAGGTGCTGTCCAGTGGGTATAAAGTTTGAGTTCTGCAAGCTGAGTGAGTTCTAGAGATGTGCTTGCAGTACAGCACGGTGTCTAGTTCTTTACTGCAATAAGAGCACGTTTTTCAGAGAAACTTCTACATAAATATTACATTTTCCAGTTTCATCTGGTTCCACAGGCAAACATGGAACCATGAGTAATCAAAAAAGAGTTACTTACCGGGGTGCCTGGGTGGCTCAGTCAGTTAAGCGTGTGACTTCGGCTCGGGTCGTGATCTCATAGCTCGTGCGTGGGTTCGAGCCCCGCGCCGGGCTCTGTGCTGCCAGCTCAGAGCCCGGATCCCGCTTCGGATTCTGTGTCTCCCTCTCTCTCTGCCCCTCCCTGCTCGCGTTCTGTCTGTCTGTCTCTCTCAAAAATAAATAAACGTTAAGAAAAAAGTTACTTACCTAACTCACAGTTCTTCCCTTCAAATCCAGTCTGACACCAGCATTCATAGGAATTAATGTCATCCTTGCATATGCCGCCATTCAAACAGGGATTGGACTCACATTGATCTCCATCTTTGAAATAGGTTAAGATAAAGTTGAGTTAGCAAATAAACCGCTTAGAATGCCTCCTTGCACAGACTCGTGGGGAGGGGAGCCTGGTTTTAGGGTCAGAACTGCTGATCCTGCTCCTTGTGGGATGACCCTGTCTTCCTGAGTTCCTAAAAACAACCCAAACAGAGGTTCCCCGGCTAATACCGTGCTAGGAAATGGCTCTGGGGCAGCCATGCTCGTAGTTGATGCTACCCAAGGGACGAGGAAGAGGGGGAAGAAGGTCTGAGGTTAGAAATGGACTGTGCGAGCATAGAGAGAGAAGGGTTTTCATTCCTTTCTTGTAGAACGATGGCAAGTGAATTCTAAATCAAGTGACATCACTTCAACCATTATTATCTCTGTGTCATTCAGGGCCCACTATCAAAGGTCTTGCCGAACACACCGAGCATGGTAGCATATGGTATTTGCAACTCAAGGAACCGGCAGCCTAAGCTTGGAGCAAATGCATCTACTTCCTTGTGTTATCCTTTCACTTTTTGTAAAACATTGTAGCAGGCAGTAGTGGTTCAAAACCTTGGAAGAGATGCCGGGAGCATCTCTCGCTGCTTAAAGATATTCTGCTGTCTGTGAAGTGGTCCCAAACGGTCTAGGTCAAGTGGGAAGCAGCTTTTATTTATTTATCTGTTTTTAAGTTTTTTAAAGTGGTAATTCTTTTTTTTTTTATTTATTTTTTATTTTTAAAAAAATTTTTTTTTTCAACATTTATTTATT